CCAAGTTTTCATCTAATTTTTCTTTTAAATATGCTCTCTTCCAGGTTTTCTGTCTACCTCCACAGTCTGCTCCAGGACAGCTATTTACTACCATCCCCGTGCTCATTAGAAGACTGGCCAGAACAGGTCGCTGTTCTACACTTACAAGAAACCTTCATGGAACTCTCACCTGTGGAAATCTACACCTTCAGCGCCTACCTTTGGGCCCTGCTTTGGCTGGTTCTGCACCCTTCCACCACCTTACCCCCACAATACCCCCGACCAGCAGGAAGTAGCCAGAAAAAGTAATGATGCCCCTCCCCATAAAAACAGAAAAGGTGGAAATGAAGGGTGCAGGAAGCAACCAGAGGGGCGGCTCCCAAAATGGCGCCAACACACTAGACAACAAAGGCCCTAGGTCCTGGCTTCTGTGAGCACAATTCCCTGCGCGAGCGAATTTCAAACCTTCCTGCATGTGAATTTCAAACCTGCAAGCCTCCAATCCATAGCCAGCTTTGTTATGCTTCCAATAGGACTGTGACACGGTGTTGGCCCCACCCTGCTCCCCATGCAGCTCCTCCAATAGGAACATAGCACGGCCCCTTCCGGCCCCTGTCAGGCTGATAAATACAGCCCTCTCCCTGCAACTCTCTCTCTCTCTCTCTCTCTTTTCTTTTTTCCCCATTACAGATCCTCTCTGTAGCAGCCCCCTTTAATAAATCTCTTGGTCCTGGCCGGGTGTGGAGTCATTACTGGTGCCGAAATTCTTTTAGACCTGACAGCACACTGCCTCCTTCACAATGAAAAGCATCCCAGTTAGATGAAGAAAGACCTTTACAGCCACTTTAGCTAATGGGGCACTTAGACAATATTTAGCAAAATTAGCTCATTTACTTTTTCATTCAATCCACATTTACTAAGCACCTACTAAGTATTTAAACATAGTCCCTTTGTTCTTGCTACCACTTCAAACTGCTTCTCTGTTTCCACAAGACAAATAGAAAATGACTGGATGGATTTTTTTCTCAAAATATAAAATTGGCACCTGAGAAAAAATGAAATATAGAAAAAAACAATCAGAATGTATTTGGTAAGAAAAATATAAATCAAGTTCATGAGGAAAAGGAGATAATTTTTGGAGCAATAAAAAACCAAAGCTACGGGGAAACACCCCATATCAACAGGGTGCCTGAATGAAACGCAATTGTATACCTAACCCTTAACTGTACCCCACAACTTCACAATAAAAATTAAAAAATTAAAAAATTAAAAAAATTTAAAAAAACCAAAGCTTATAAAGATATTCACAAGTATAAAATAAGGAAAACCTTTACCTGCTGCCCTGTAAAGTATTTTAGGTTCAAAAAATATACAAGGATTTTTATCCTCTATGCATGACAGAAGAAGCCCCTTGGCATGGAAAGGGCTTCTGTGTACAACCACCTGCAAAAACAGATTTTCTTGAAAGAAAATTTTAGTAAAAATATATCCCAGTAAACTCACTTATAAGAAGCACTGGTATCAAATAACCAATTGTTACTGATGAAAAGCAGAAAACTAGTATTTGTTTTTAGCCTAATTACCACTTATTAGCTTTATATATTGTGTCCCCCCCAAAAAAATTCCTTTTGTCCAACAACTATTTATCAGATGCCTACCATGCTCTGATAACTAAGATACTGCTCTGCTCTTAAGGAGCTAAACTTGCCTATTTAAAGAATAAAAGAAATCTTCAAAGAGCATTCATCAAAGCAAAAAAGTAATATTGTCATTATCTACTTGTATTTGCCTGTAAATAAAGATCTTCTACGAATACTCTGTCACTACTTTCAAAGTGCATGCAACTCTCTCCTCCAGTTTCAACATGCCAGAACCTCCTTCTTTCCTAGGAAAACCATCTTCATTTCATAGCTGAAAAAGTAATCCACTGAATTTTACGATCCAGGCACTACAATTCCAGTTACATAAGGCAGAGCAAAAGGACAACTGTGGATACTCCACATGTCTGCATCACAGGAAAAAGCTCCAGGACCTTATCGAGAATGAGGACAATGAGGAAGATGATAATGACAGCAAGATATCCATGGGCTAACTTGACCAAGCACTCTTTGAATTCATTCATCTACTGCTTAGCCACCCCACTCAGCAGCTGTTATTTTTTCCCCCATTTTAGAAATAGAGACTGGGGCTTAGAGAGAATAAGTAGCTTGAGTCAGCTCACACTGCTTGCTGGACCAGGGATCCTCACCTTGTTCAGACTGATACCAAAGCCTCACAACTTCTATACTGTGTTGCCTCAAATGACAAACCTATGTCGAATTTGTAATGACTATACAATAATCATATAAAGACAAGTATTACACAGGAAGGAGTATCATTCAAATAAACCTGAATTCATCACAAAGACTAAAGTAAGTTTCCCGGAGGCAAACGATACTTGCCTTTCACAGTCATTTTCATGCCATTTTTATTGAAGTACATAAATTAAAAAGCAGCACAAATGTCACCATTTTATCTTCTGTAAATAGACCTTTGAACACATTAATATCACATAACATCTTTATCTAATGTTTCTACTTTTTAGTTTCTCTTTATCACTTTCTTCATATTAACCTTTTGCGCTTCATGTATATTTTCATTTGGGCTGAAAAATAAGGAAGAGAAGTTGGAGGAAGGAAAGAGGAGGAGAAAAAGAGAAGGCAGGGGACTGAGAGGAAATAATTCTTCTAGAAAACACTGAGTGATGTTATAAATGTTAAATGTGAGTTAATGTTCAGCCAAGCACAAAAATAACTGTTGTCTCAAGTGTGGCTTCTCTCCTAACCCACCACTTCTAGTTCACATTAGAAGAATCAGGCAACCTTGACTCAAGTCATAAGAAACTTGATGATTTTAATCTGGTAGAAAAAACAAATAATAAAATAAAAACAAGCTGGGTTGGTGGCTCAGTCAGTAATCCCATGCTTTGGGAGGCTGAGGTGAGTGGATTGCCTAAGTCCATGGGTTCGAGACCCACCTGGACAACTTGGCGAGACCTCATCTCTACAATAAATTTTTTAAAAAATTAGCCAGGCATGGTAGCGCTGCCTCTAGTTCCAGCTACTTGGAAGGCTGAGGCAGAAGGATCTCCGGAGCCCAGCAAGTTGAGGCTCCAGTGGCCAGGAGCATGCCACTGCACTCTAGTCTGGGCGACAGAGTGAGACTCCAACTCAAAATAAATAAATAAATAAATAATAAAATAACATAACATAAACACAGGTTCACAACCCATTCATGTGGTCAAAAAATAAAGACATGTCTCTGAACTGACATATCTGTGGGTCTCTATAGTGGTCCCCTACAAAGCTTATTTAGAAAATAAAAATGAAAAAGATGTTAATATAAAAAATGAAGACAGAAAATACTCTAAATATACTCTTCTTTCCAAAAGAACTAAGCTATTGTGAAAGGATGGATATAAAAGGGAAAAGGGAGTTGCTTCAGAATTGATTGTTTGAGCAAATATTAACTTACTCTAGACAGAAGAAAACACACATAGGCAACAGTCTTCTCTCATTCTATTTCACAAGTAAGAAACGGATTTAAAGGAATAAGTCCTATCCCTCTGACTTTGAGGTAAATATATACTAAATGGTAGATTTATTAAAATCATTTCAGAGTCAGTTGAGTGAGAAAGACAAGTTAGAAACAAACATAAAGCTCTGCAAAGAGAGGGAAGATAAACCAACAGTGTTCTCAGTCTTATTCTTCGAAGTCTATAACTAATGCCAGAGTCAAGCCAGTGCTGCTTTAAGAAGAACATTCTATAAAACTGGGCATTGGACAGCATATTTAAAGAACTGCTAGGCTCCCTTACTTAAATGCAGGTAGGTTCGCACAAATTCCAAAGCATAGTTTTTCTAGAATTCCTCTAGACAGGCATATTCATTCATATTAACAGAATCAGCCAAAATGGAAAAGTCAAATAGAGATCAAATAAAGTACACAAGTGAGGATACCTTGATTCCTGGGCAATGAGCAAAAAAAGCCTCAGAACTCTGAGAATGATAGAGAGCCCCGTGGCCAACACAGCCCTAAGGTGCCCAGATAGTGAGGCTTCCACAGTTAAAAAGATCCCCAGAGTGGTAGCGGTACTTGGCAGCTTCATTCACAATCTAGGGGAAGAAAGAAAAAAGGGACATGTCACAGTGAGGCCTTCCTTCCCAACCATTCTCTCAGATCTTTAAATATATGCTCATAACAAAATGGTGACTGTAATACACCAGCTCACAGTAACAAAACATCCTTGGGATGGGGATGGGGGTGAAAGGGTAGAGGCAATACTTAAAACTTCACTAACAACCTGAGAAATGCTCATGAATGGTAAAATGCAATGTACTTACCTGATCAAAAGCAGGAAAGATGTAATCTGCAAACTGAATTTCTGCAATGACAGTAGCACCAGTGACTGCAATTCCGATTCCAAATCCAACAATTCCTTGTTCGCATAATGGAGTATTAAAAACTCGATCCTTCCCTGAGAAAAAAGAAGGTAATGTTGACATGGCAATGAGAGTCATGGAATGCATAACACATTCAAAAATGCAGCAAATTAATAATAGTGAAATGGAGCAACACAGTACAGGCAGAGGGAATAGGAAATAAATAGTGTGACTGTTTATTTTAATGCAATCAGTAACTATACTTAATTATATTAACTGTAAGTAATATAAGTGTTCCAATGAAAAGAAAGATTGTCACACTGGGGTGAAAGAAAGTAAAACTCAACTACTTAAAAGAAAACACAAGCCAAAGTAAAGAAAAGCTGTAAGAAAAAAGAAGGAAATAATGCACAATGAAAAACCTAACCCCCAAAAGTTGGTGTCACTATATTAATAGCAGACAAAGTAGATTTTAAGGGAAAAGTCATACCAGAGATAAAGAGGGAATATTCATACTGTTACAAGGCTCAATTGACAGGAAAGACATAACAATTCTAAATGTAAACTCATCTAACAAAGGGCTCCACATAAACGGGAAAAATTAACACAACTAAAAGGAGAAATGGACAAATTCACATGTGGGAGATTTTTAACATACCAGGCTTAATAATGGACAGAGAAAACATGGCAAAAAGGGGGGAATATAAAAAATATAGCAGATATGCAAGCATGATCAACAAACATGGCCTAACTGACATACACAGGACCCTGCACCCAACAGCGAAGAAAACAAATCTTATTCAAGTAGACAGTAAACCCTGACATTATTTGACCATACTGAGCTATAAATCCAATCTCAACAAATTTTAAAGGATTAAAATCATACAAATTTTCTATGATGGTGTTAAGTTAGGAATCAATAATAAAACAATAATTGGAAAATCTTCATTAGAAAGTTTTAATACATGTACAATAATACCCACAGCTCAAGAAGAAACTATAATGGAAATTTAAAAAACATATTAAACTGAATCATCATGAAAAAATGATGTATCACAATGGATTAGAGTTTTGAAGGTAATGACAGAGTTACCTCCTTCACACTATCCTTCCCATATTTAATGATTGTAAATTAGGCAAAATATAACAAATAACCACATAAAGGTGCAGAAGGGTCAAAAGGAGGCATAAAATGAGGGGGTCTTGACCCTTGGGAGGAGGAAGGGAAGGGCAGTGGGTGAGCAGACATTTCTAAGGCTTGTTCTAGGAGGAATACCAAGTGTATGCATCAGGACAGCTAGAATTCAGACAAACAAACTCCTCTCGTTGGCATGAGGTGTCAGAAAATGAACAGCCTGGGGAGACCAGTGGCTGAAAATGGGGGGACACCTAAGGAGGAAGCCACAAAATCTGTGCCTGCCGTGCTCGGATCCTTGCCCACGCTTGTGCCTACAGAACATGCCAAAAGCCCAGCAGCAAAAACCTGTGCAGACTCAAAAAGCTGAGCAGGCCAGGTACTGTCATCCCAACATTTTGGGAGGCTGAGGTGGGAGGATGACTTGAGGCCAAGAGTTCAGAACCAGTTTGGCCAACATAGTAAGACCAGTCTCTATAATTAATTTTTTTAAAAAAATTAGCCAGATGTGGTGGCATGTGCCCGCAGTCCCAGCTACTTGGGAGACTGAGGCAGGAGAATCGCTTGAGCCCAGAAGCTCAAGACTGCAGTGAGCTATGATCATGCTGCTGCACTACAGCCCAGATGACAGAGTAAGACCCTATCTCTTAGAAAAATTAAAATAAAAATTAAAGAGAACTGAACAGAGCCTTCAGCTGTGCTCACTAAAGAGGACACAGAATCTGGAGTTTGAAACTCTTCAAATTGGAAGCATTTGATAATATCTTGGTCCATTCAAACCACAAGGTACAACTTTATTAATGTACTCAATTCTCACTTGACATTTTACCATCTCTCAGCCAATCCCACCATTCTATTAGAAATGTTTATTCCAGGCGTCCAGACAGAACACAATGGCCACACACAGTCTGGCCATGTGATAATTTGGGACAGATCTGGGCCTTATGTTTCATTTCCACAATCCAGTGATACCAGTTATTTTTAGTATACAGAGTTCACTTTCAGCTCAATCATTACCTTTGAATATGAACCAAAAATGGGACAGGTATTGGAAAATGTCAACCAGACACATCCTGTAGTTTGTAACTCTAAAAGCAGCTGCAAAAATGTCAAGGGTGATTCATACTTACCATGATCTGTGACTATCTTCTGAAACTGTGACCTCTAGGCTTCATCAATTCCCTATTTGACTGTGAGTAGCTTGATAATTTTTGAAAACCTATGATTCCACTGAACTAAGAACAACTCAGTGATGGAAAATGAACATGCATTCCAGCTGCTCCCCATCCCTGCAATACCTGAGCCACCTTAACCAAACAAGGAGCTTTCTTAATTATTCCTGCTCCTTCAAACTCATGGGATTCAGAGGTGTCTCATCTTGGTATGAAAGTATAGCCCACTTGCCACTAGAAGTCAGGAAAGGTGAGTTTCTCAGAAATCTCCTGCCCCAAAATGTGTTTGGTTTGAGGAAACAGCTTAACAAGTCTCTCCAAACAAGTTCCCATTATGTAGCAGAAACTGCTTCAACATGAACAAAAGACTAAAAATACGTTTCTTTTTTCTCCCAGACACTGACTGAGGGCAGAAGCACAAATGAGATGCACAGTACTGATGGCTTCTGCTCTCCATAACGAGAGTCACCTGATGTGAGGCCCATGCACATAGCATCCCAGTGGAAGACTGGAGGCAGGCAGCAACTGCTCCAGCAGGCAAGTCAGACCTGGGTCGGAGAGTTTTCACCCCAAATCACTAAACTCCCTAAGGTTCCATTTCTTATCTGTAACAGAAAAATCAGGATACTGAAAAGATCAAATAATTCTCACTTGTATTCAACAAATGTGTATAAAGTACTTAACCTTGCATAGAGACTTTCCTAAGTGCTAGGGATAATAGCAGCAAACAGCCCACCCCCCCAAAAAAAATTACATCCTCATGAAGTTTACTATCTGGGAAAATAAAAAAGAAGAACAAAATAAATAAGTAAAACATATAGCATGTTAGATGATGAAGCAGGGAGCAGATGATGGGGTGAAGGGAACTCCATAAATTTAAACAGGAAGATGGGAAAGGTCTCACTGAGGTGACATTTAAGCAGTGAGTTGAAAGAAATGAGAAAGTGTGCCTTGCCCACATCCAAGGAAATAGATTTTCCAGGCAGAGAAACCAGGAAACGTAAAGACCCTGGTATAACAGCATGTCTAGCACATCAGAGGAAAGGCAAGAAGTCCAGAGTGCCTGGTCTAGAAAAAGGGAACTGGAGAAAGAGATACAATCAAACAGTTAAGAGGACGGGATGGGGAGGTGACAGATACCACCTGAGTTTTACTGTGAGAATGAATGAGTCAGAAAGCAGGTGAGTGAGAGAGACAGAAAGTCCCTGAGCAGAGTCATGCATGCTCTGAGTTGCATTTCAACAGGAGCCCTCTGGCTGGTATTTTGAGAACAGCCTCTCAACAGCCAGGGTGGACACAGCAAGACTGATTACAGGATACTGCAATATCTCTCCTGGTGAGAGATAATGATTTATAATCACAGAGAAGGTAAACGACTCTGGATATGTGCTTAAGATAGAGCTAACAGGATCTACAGATGAAACAGATGTGGAGCATGTGTCAGAGAATGACTAAGGATGAGTCAGCGGCTTCTGGTCTGAGTAAACTGATGGTCAGAGTTGTCAGTATCTGAGAAAGGGAACACCACAAAGGAGCATTTTGGGTGAGAGACCAAGAGTTCAGTTCTGCAGAGGTTTCCTTTGAGATGTCTTCAGATATTCAGGTGGAGCTATCATCAGACTGATGGATATATGAGCTGAAACCCTTTAGCATGAAGACAGCATTTAATAACAAGGGATGGGATGAGACTCCTTAGCAAATTTAAACAGGTATGTGGAGAAAAGGGAGAGATCTCAGATCGTGTCCCAGACACTCCGATGTTAAGAAGGCAGCAGGTGAGAAATAATCAGCAAAGTCGAGAAGGAAAAAACAAAGCCAAAGAGCTGGGAGGAAAACTAGGAGAATGTGCTAT